TGTATATACTGATCATGTATTCTATATTTAATTTTACTTTTGAGAGTCAAAGGTTACTTCAAGGTCAATGTTTTGATTAATCACTGTGTAGGCAAAAATATAGAGATGTCCTTGTAGCACGTTTATCCATTTGTACTATTCAAATTGCATATAAAATTTTTTTCATATCATTATACCTGAAAGGGATTTAAGATGGCTACATTTAAGTGTACCACTACATTATTATGACATAAAAATGTAAATTAAGGAATGGTTGTAGATAAAAGTGGATGACCATCCAACAACATCTAAAACAAACATAGAAGAACATATTGAAGATACTTCAGAAAGTTCTATAGCATTAGGTGCTGGTATAATGCTGGTAGGGATGTTGCTTGGCTTTGGCTGGGGTTGGCTTCATTATATCCATCGTGGGAAGTCTCCAAGAAGCGGAATGGTTGGAAGCAGTGGTCAGGTAGGCATAATATCTTTCAAGTACATTTTATGTTTTGAGTTTGGTTTTATTTACCGGAAGCGATGCATGCTCTGGTTCGTACGTTCGTTTCTTTATCTTATATACGCGTTGCTATGAGGAAAGATGTTGGGCGGTTTGAATCCATCGACTGACTTGCTGGTGGGTTCCACTTCGCAGTACGGGCCAGTACTTACGGAGTTGCCGAGCCAACTAAAGCTGAAACAGTCAAATTCACACGACACTCCAGCAATACCACTTTCTGACCAGGAAGAAGAGACACGCACTCTAATGCAGGACTCTACAATTCCTCCAACTGTTTCTATTGGCCCTAATACTATCACTAATCAGATTCCAGGTTGAGTACAAAGGTTAACTGCATCAATGTGTAGTAAGAACACATGATGTGGACACTGTTTGCGCATTTTTAATTTTATGTGAATCGATCTGAATCACAGTCTTTACCATTTTGCCATTTACTTGACTTTCCCATGAACAAAACATTTATTTCTTTTCAACTGTCTTTGGTAGTTATTTTATTGTTAGCTCTACAAATTCATATGACCTTCTTCGTTTGCTTGTTCGATTAAAGAAGTGTAAAAAGTTGCGTTTCTATAGAGTGTCAGCACAAGTACTAATGTAAGGTTTCTATCTTCATACTTCTGTTACTTAAAATTTTATCTTTTTCTGTTTACCTGTGCATTCCTCCACTCCGTCCATTATCATTGGTGATATGTTAGGTAAGCATTGGATCCAGATGCTAAAAACGTTCAAACAAAATGATTTCAGATATATTTTCTAGACAATTATTTTCATTATTGTTTAAATACATAGCATGTTTAGTAATAATCGCAATACCAATACGTTTGGTATGGTAGTAAGTTATAGTAGTACGGTATCGGTCTTTGAGAAAGACCGTTGAAGAATGCATGTATAAATAAATAATATTTTATTCTGTCCAAATTGAATGTAATGGCAGCATTAAGTGTGACTGACAATATATATAACAAAATATTTGCTCATCTGTATGTATATGATGAAAAATGAGCGATATTTACAAAGTAAACGGATATGTATATATTAGAGTAACTTACATAAATTATGGCATAAAGCAATCCTATCTTTTCAAATTAAGTCAAAAAGAATGCAATACAGGGCAGTGATGGGAAAGCACTGCACAATTTTTGTTATATTACTTTACTGGTTTTATACTTGTGTTATTTGTAATTAATAAAATTAATTACATACAGTGTAATTAGCATGTATGTATATTATAATAACAAGTACGTTTTTTATAATACAGCTATTTTATCCTTTAATGGAATTTTGGAGTTAGTTTTACTGATTTTTCATATAAATCTTGAGACTGGGTCGCATTGTGTACATACATAAGATAATCTACACATAAGGTGTTCTGATTATCAGCAACAAATTTGGAAAGATTATCGAAGTATTTCTAAGTAAACATTTTTTATTTATATGTGATATAATTTTATTTCGTATTAAAATACATTTACGACGAAAGACCAATTTTTCTCATATGGTATAAAATATAATTATTCATAAGTATCGATATAATTTATCTTTAATAATTTATAAGTTTATTGTATCCGATTTAACGAAACTTCTACAATTTGGAATCGGAGTGTTTTAATTGTTCATAAGAACTTCTGAATGAGTACATTTTGGAGATAATTAAATAATCGCCAGGGAACTTTGTCTGGATTCAATGCTGTCATAGAATGAATATGTATATGTTATTACTTTTTCAACAATTTATGTAAAATCCAAGCTGTAGTAGTTACATGATTTATGCAATTATTTGTGTAAGCATTCTCCTTATATAAGAAAAATAAATAATTGAAAGAACATATATTTTGGATGTCATGTTCTCCTTTTATTGATTTGTTTAGTTAATATTTTAGATACATGTATATTAATTTAGTAAAAAATGTCGTTTACGTAAGAATTAGTCATTACATATTAGTCATACAAAATTTGAAGATATAACACACGGACTTAGGAATAGAGGGACGGAGACGGAGCATGAAGTCCTCATTTTGGTGAGAAGTATCTGCACAGATATGCGGGGGAAATCGATGTGCCATATCACGTTCACAATTCTGCTTCGTTCATTTTACTTTACGAATGAATCCTACTAACCGTATCTTACAGAAGTCGTAATAAAAAAAATTCAACATAAGTCTAGATAATAATAATAATTAATAATAATAATAAATATAAATAATAATTATTGTATTATTTTGATGATCAATGTTTTCCAAATTTGAATAGATAAAACAAAATAATTCATTATTGTTATTATTTTACCGATATTATCAATCTATATTTTCAAATAATGGTATTGAAAGTAATAGCCTTAAATAAATAAGAATTATTTTAATTGTATGTAAAGTTTGACTAGATCTGATTCAATATGTATATTTGTCATGAATGTTGCCCATTCAGATGCATATACATGTATGTAAGCATGCATTTGCCGTACATGTCACACATTATAGCTAAATCCGGAATCTATAAGCGAGCTTGTAAAAAAAATGGCGCCCCTCTCCCCAGCGAACGTGACCCCGCCCCATAGTTTGTGCACCACTATTTTTAAGTTCGTGACATAACATAACTCTCACTCGGGTTTGAGTGCGTTGATTTTAATTCTGAATTTAGTTGTGCGCATGCGCGCTTTTCTATGAATTCAAATTTGTAGCCTTTGAAGTAGTGTACAACAGTAGAAGGTTATGTTCTCTTGCACGTATATAATTGATTGTAAATATCTAGTGATTTAAACAGCAATTTTATTTGTATGTCATTGTATTACATTCTTTTGAAAATGAGTAAAAAATTGAAACTTAATAATCTTGTATCAACAAGATCTCTACGTTCTGGAAATAAAACCGCTAATACAGATGCCCTGGGTGCAACTTCAACATATTTTGACAATGAAGAAAACATATTGCTACATAAAACTGAGAAGAAAAAGCGTACACCGATAGAAATAAAATATGAAGAAGTAAAGGATGAAGATGAAATAAAATGTCTGAATGTGAAAATTGAAGATTTTAAAAATAAAATTGTGAAAGAAGTTATGACAGATGAAAATTTGTGGATGCCAAAAAATTGGAAAACGATATTAGAAAACATTAAAGAAATGCGAAAACATAGAACAGCACCTGTGGATGAAATGGGTTGTCACAAATGCGCAGATCCTAAAGCATCTGCGAAACTTTCTAGGTATCAATCATTAATCGCATTGATGCTTAGTAGTCAAACCAAAGATCAAGTTACTCATGCAGCTATGCAAAGATTAAATACATATGGATGTACTCCAGAAGTAATAACAAATACTCCTGATGAAATTCTTGGGAAACTTATATATCCTGTTGGATTCTGGAAGGTATAATTTGTTTCAACTTAATGAATCTAATATACATACAACAAATAAAAAATGGTTATAAAGATCATTTTTGAACAGTAAATTACTACTGTTTCTAACTGATCATATATTTGTCTTACTTCTTTATAGAAATTCTTATCCAAAAACTTGTTGTAGAAATGTTTTTTTAATCAAACGTGTAAAATATTTTTTTAAGAAATAATGGTGTTTTCAGAGAAAAGTGGAATATATTAAAAGGACATCCATAATCTTAATAGACAAGTATGGAGGTGATATTCCTGAAACAGTGAAAGAGTTGTGCGATTTACCTGGTGTTGGGCCAAAGATGGCTCATATTTGTATGCAAATAGCATGGGGTCATGTATCTGGTATTGGTGTGGACACACATGTGCATCGTATTACTAACAGATTGAAGTGGGCAGAAAAACCGACAAAAACCCCAGAAGAAACCAGGATTGCATTGGAGAAATGGCTTCCAAAAGATCTTTGGAAGGAGGTAAATCATCTACTTGTTGGATTTGGTCAAGAAATTTGTTTACCCAGATTTCCAAAATGTTCTGAATGCCTCAATAAAGATATATGTCCGTCTTCAACGAAAAGTGGAGTAAAAAAGACCTAACTTTTGGAAAATATTTATTATAAATTATGTTTATTTACAGTATATAAATTGTGAAATGAAAAAAATTCAGCGATTTAACTTTTTCTTAAATTTTCCATTACGCTTCTGAGTTTTCTGTACTCTTTTCTGTTTTTTTATACTTTCTTTTTTATTCTTGTTGCGTTCTAATTTCTGCTTTTGTTGGAATGCTTTACTCTTTTGTACACGTTTCAATGCAGCTCTCTTAATTTCTCGTTTTATATCTTTTTTATTACTAATTGGTTTATTTACTAAATTTTGTTTTGAGTTATTAGCTTCTTTCTTTTTGTTTAATGTCATTCCCACGATTTCTTCATCATCTTCCATATTTTGATTATTCTCTTCCTCTTCTTCATCTTCTGTTTCATTAGTACCTTCATTCTCGCCAATAAACACATCTTTCTCTAAAAGATCTGCAACGTTCAAATCTAAAATACTAACGGTATGCCCTTCTGTTTCGTATTCTTGTTGAGATAATAATTGTTGAATTTCTGGAATATCTCTGCTTGATACCAAATTCTGATAACGTTCCCGTGCCTAACAAAAACAGTGTATACATTATTATATTATTAAAAAAGTTTAAGTTTTCAAGTACTTACTTCCTGTTTAATTTTTTTTCGTTCTTCTTTCAACTGTTGCTGCAGCTCCTCTTGAGCTTTCTTTTGCCGTTGTACTTTCCTTTTATGGAATCCTTTCAAAAACTCTCTGTATTCAGAAGTGTTAAATGTTCACAGTGTTCATAACCTCTATTTATTGTTTCATTAGTTTAGCTTACTGTATTTACCGTCTTTTCTTTTCATCAAATACAAGAGTAATTTTCTTGCGTTTTTTTGGTTGACCAGGTATTCTATTTACATTGAGTAACTTTGGTTGCATTTTTACGTGTAATACCATAACTGAAAGTTTTTTGGTTAGGTCTGGAAACACGGAACGAAATTTAGTGTTGTCAGGAGTCGTTAACTGTCGTAAACTATCGTCACGAGTTATAACATATATATAAAACACTGATGTTATTTTTTTATGTCTAGTGTCTAGTTATAGAATATCTTGTAGGTAATGTTCCTATTATTACCAGACCATTGTATCGAGCAGTCAGTACATGTATAACACGTAGAACAAAATGAATGAATTTGTAAAATTCACTATAAATTCTTCGTAATTGAAATAGGAAATAAACAAATGTAATACTGATGTTATTCAGCATTCATACTTATATCTGTATTTTGATAATACCAGAAAGGAAATATAATACTCTTCAGGAATCGTGAAAAATAAAATATGTGTACATACATGTATAAATTAATCAGCACAATTGCATCGAAGCGAAATGACTTGCAAAATAAAAATTGTTGGAAGTTACACATTTGTTTAGTGTAATAGAATTAAGTAAAGATTGTACTTATACGAATTTTGAAAACCCCGCTGTTCATTATTTAGTAGTAAAATATCTTAGTAGAGGGTGCCCTTGTAAAGTTAACATAATATATTGAGTGTCTCTACTTACATAGTAACAAATATTGTTTGCAAAGGTATACTTTAGTTCTTCCTTATAACAAAATTTGATATTTACATATCCAATGAAGTAAGATTACAAAAAAACATTATTTCCTGGTGTAGATTATAAACATTGCAAATTCTGCTAACGAAAAGAAGTCATCAGGTAATAATAACATCATTGCATTAATTTCATAATGTAGTAATAAATGGAAATAAAAAATACGAAACAATACATAGTACAAGCGGAGAATGTTATATGTCAATTAAGTCAGAATTATTAACTCAATAATTAGCACCATCACTAATCAGAAAAATTAGGCTGTACAAGCTTCTATTCAAAACACGAGTAGAAACAACATCACATCCTAGAAATAACACGTAGTGCACTCCTATATCATTTGAATCTGCTAAACTTTAAAAACTCCCAGAATACTTAGGTATATAGGTGCTGTTTATTTTGTATCTTTATGTAAATATTTGTGTTCCAATTGTTTACGTTTCCATCGATATTAAATTGGCTATAATAGATGAGAATTCACTGTACGTACTACTTTATCCTTCCATCATTGTAGTTCGAATGATATGGTGATACATGATATGATAATTCGACATAACTCAGAGTTCTCGTAATTTTAGCTAGAAAAATATCTGCGGAAGCATAGGAGAGATTTCACAGTCCCTCGTACGAAGTCTGTAGGCCGGCGCATGCGTGGGAAATCCCTTTCATGAAAAGAATCCCTCAAACTGGCAAGATATACTATACCATCCATGGGACATGTGCGTAAGGAATGGTCGAGCGTGGTGAGTCGACTTGCCACTAGTAGGTGGAAAGCGTTCGTCATTTCCAGCGTGAGAATGCATCGGGTATAAGTGATTGGTTCTTTTCACGACAAGAAGATCCGTCGGTAGGCGGGCAGCCGTAGGGCGGGGGCTCTATTGATTTAAATTTGGTTTGCCGGTGCGCGTGTCAATAGTCAATATACTGCCGCGAAGAGCGCGCGCTCGAGCACCTGCGCTTACACTGGTCGTGTGTTGTGCAGATCAAAAGGTTAGGCCCTTAGCAGTGCAGTCGATAGGATATGTCGACTATTACGAAAACGAGAACGGCAGAGGATGTGGAGAATTTAAATGGACCCACCCGTTTCGAGAGCGTCGTGCCGCAGAATAGGTCAGTCTTGTACCGGCAATTTCTGGTTTGAGTCGGTCCGCAAGCAGAATAGAATGCAAGGGACACTGTTGCGAATTCTATGCCCGATGCAAACGTTGTTAAAATATTTGTCACCACGCCTTCGGCCGAGCATCAGCTGACTCATCGGCAGATGTGGCTAATTCAAAGCACCCCTTGCGCTATTCGTGCACGGAACAGATACAAATCGATCAATAATAGTTTTTTTACGATTTCTGGATATTGTCTGTGATTTTTCGTGTCATTATTCGATTGCACGATAAACACTCGAATTAATCGAATTCTTTTATTTTACCGTAGATTCTTTCTAACAGTTAGTTATTTACTTATGAAAGTCGATTCATTTATCGGATTCTTGCTCGCTATCTGAGAGTTAATACTCTTTCTGCCGATTGGTCAGCCGATCGGTCACGTGGCTCACGAAATGCGCGCCGAGAGCGTCGCAAATTTCAATTTGAAATACTTTCTTTCCTTCACAATACTAAGTCCGTTTCTTATTGTCCCTTAGCTATTTGTTTTTAAAATAATTCGCACTATTAATTAAAGTTATGTTAAAATAATGTAACTTGCAATAATTCTATTGTTTTTTATTTTTTTATATTTCAAGGCAGGATTTACTAAAGTGGAACGGTTGGGGATATAAGGATTCCGAGTTTCGGGTTAATAACAAGAATATCCTCGAGTTTACCGGTCATAGGTGAGTGTTTATATGCTTGTCTATGTTTACATTTAATAAATTTAGAGGAATTCGTGAAAGTTTCCAATTCGCAAAGAACTACTTTTTTATATTACATTAATGTATGCATGACTTTGTATTTCACACAGAATCGTTTCTGTCTTTCTACTATTAAACAAATGAAAAGAATACTAATTACACAGACTGATGTGACTTGCAATATCTGTTTTAAGGTTAAAGTAGTAGCTACTTCGGTAAGAAGGAACGTTCGAGAAATAATGTCAAAATTGTCTAGCTATAAAATTACACGTTTATGTGTGTATATATATTTATAGTTTATTTTATACATAGACTAAATATATTTAGTATTAAAGCAATATTTTGAGAACTAAAAATTTTGAATTACGTGTAATTATTTTACATAAGAATGTTATTATAACAAAAGGCAAATAAAATCAATTAGGATAGATAAAGTATTGTATACGTTTCCTTTAAGGGGATTATGCGAAAGTATTTTTCCCCTTTCTCCATGCTTACACTTCTTTTTTCTCAATTCCTTCAATAATCAATTTAATATTTTGTCAATTTTAACAATTTCTTCAATTTTTGTATTTCATAAATAAATACGAAATATTCGTATGCTATGAATAAGCAAAGAAATTATTTATTTCCTCGTTTTTTTTATTGCGTCTACATTTTATATGATAAGTAGCTATTTTATCTCGGTAATTCGCGCATGCACTAAAATTGTTTTTAAATTAGATGTTCAAGAGTTTCTAATCTATACACATTTGTCTCACGAAGGTAATAGATAACTTTTGTAACTTCCTTTGAAGCATACCTATATACCTTATCATGTGCAAATTTTGATAACTCATATGGCTTAGTTTTCCACCTAACTTTCATAATCATTCGAAATTTTAGGTAGTTATTTTTCTTCCTTCTTCTAGTTCATCATTAATACGTTATTTCTTATACTGGTCTAACACATGCGATTAACAAATCTTACGTCCTGTTCAATATTATGAGTGTTGTAACGGGAATTTAAATATTCATAGAAGAATAAAAAAAAATCATTCAACTGAAAGAAAGTGAGGTAAGATTGAAATGGCAGAATGATTCACAAGAAAAATCATTCACAAGGAAAAGACGAGTACATTTACATATACATATGGTTCTGTTAAGATTACGAATGTCCATATATCTACCATTTATAATGTTAATAATATTTCAATCGTAATATCATTTTATCTGGGTGTTTATACCTTCATATATGTACATTTTTAATGTGAGAACAAAGTCTTTCTTGATTTAATTATTTAAAAGGAAATGATTAAAGTGCTTTTTTTCTTTTCTTTTTTTAAATAATGTACTTTTTAAAAAAATTTTACTCTAATTTTAGTGCTTTTTTGCTTAGTTATATATAATCTGAAACTATCGCAAATTTACTATCGATATACTGCTTGAATTACTCATTTATTTAAAAAGTAGTTAAAGACTCGTTGTAAGTACTTTTTACATCGGGTTCTATCATTTCTTTCGTAGCTTCTTTCGTTGATTAGCACTTCTTTGGTGATAATAAATTCTTACACGAGAAAAAAAAATGTACATTTATTTTATGTTTATTGCAATTGTAATTGTGAAATATGAACAACTAAAAAAACAGTTAATTTTATTCCGAAGTAAAAGAAATCAATACTATCCATGTTTAATAAACTATATTAAATGTCTTCATAACGAGCCCTACACTATACATAGTGCAACGAATTAACATTCTGACTCCGTAGTTTGCTCGTGTACTGACTAATAAAGTCATTACTAGACTGCGGATGTTTATGCAAATGCACATTTTTATAGAAAATAGGTAATGCAATGAGAGTTGCGCAGAAATATGTTTTATAATTAGAGGATTCACAAAACGTATTTTTTATTTTGCACTTTTTGCATAATGCATATGTTTTGCATATTTATCTTTAAAAACATATGCAAAAATATACTGCATATATTATTTGACGCGTATACGCATATATTATGCTTATATGAAACATCTCGTTAAATTAATTTGATCTATTAGTAAACACAGGTATCATAACTAGACAGTGTCAATATCTATACCGAGTAAACGACACAACAAATCATGTTTTCGCAACTTTGGATTGCTAATTGATCGTTAGATGTAGCTGTCAGTATTTCGAATTCGAGCAGTTCAGTTTGATTATCGAAGCGATAAGGTGAATTTTTTGTGTTTATAAAGACTCATTTAAACACCTTGCCGACCACACACCACACGATTCAGAAATTAGAAACCGTAGGTTTTCCATTATATCGTTCCACAGGAATGTACATGAATTGTAAAATTCAATTGGAAAGCATCCCTGGTGATTGTGGAGAAAAAATAAAAGAGAAAATAAGAGAAAAAAAATAAAAGATTCATGGAATTTTAAGAAAAATTTCACGTATTTTAAACGGTAAATTTGTAGAAGAATCGAAGAACACTGTTTCAGTAAAATAAGCAACGATAACATCGTGTGATGTGGAGCGATCATTTTCGGCGTACAAATTAATTTTTATTGACAAACGTCAGCAACTAACGTCGTCAAATTTAGAAAAAGTAATTGTAATTTACTGCAATTCGAAATACAATATACCAGAATAACTGTAAAGTGAATGTTAATACATAATATTACACCTAACACTTAATATAGTGTTATACTGAATATCGGAAATATTTGTATATTTTTTCTGCGTGTTTGCATACTTTTCGTGTATAAATGTCATATGCTTTTTGCATATTTATCGTGCATTAACATCCGCAGTCTCGTCATTGCTATTCCCTTTAAACAAACTTTATAGTCGTTCAATACACTCGCGGCTTGTGATCCCAGTGACAGTGTCTGTTATAATTTTATGGATCATTGTCCCTTATATTATAGAGGAATGCTAAATAAAATTATAAATAAAAATGTAATATTCGACGATTGAATAGAATTCATGCCACACTTAAATTCTTTGCAATTTATTAAATACAAACAAACTTAGTATTTTCAGAAAACTGTTTTTCGTTAATACGATTCCGTGGAGATTTTTGTAATTGCGAATGCTACGCAAATCGCATAATTAGTCTGAGCGTTGATCAGTGGTGCGCGAGTGTAATAAGGCGTATCGTACAGCGAACGACTGTAATAACATTTTCTAGGTCAAACCACGAAAATTTTTGCACTCTATTAATGAATACTGTGCATAGAACGTCCAGATATAAACTGTTCATTAGTACTTCATATATAAAAAGTAATGAATATTTCATATTTAGTATATAATTTTATTGTTTGTATATTTTCATTAGACACTAATGTCTTTTCTTGCTGTAATAACAATTCTTGCCTCTAGATAAGTCTTGCATTTTCCATTTCAGACAATCACATTTACTTAAAATGGAAGACTCAAGTAAACCATTAAAATAAGTATAATTTTTGTCAAATTTTTTGTCGCTTTCCATGCGTATACTTTAACATTTCGCGTTACATAAATTTTATTTTCGTTACATTTTATCGACGTCTACTGAAATAATACATCTTGGTCCTCCATAAACCTTCCGGTCGACGATGCCGATCGGTGTGAAGTCTAGCATTTTTTTCTTTTTATCTAGAACAAAAAATAAAATGGAATTTTGTTCATAATAGAACTACGCGTCGAACTAAATACTGTTTTAAAAAAATGCAAAAAGTATGATAAGACGCAGATCCGAAAACAAGGGAGTGATTTTCGTGTAAAATTTTTATCTTAATAAATTTTCGGAGCCACGTATTATCCTTTCTTTTGCATCTTTTAAAAATAAGATTTAGGTTCGTACAATGCGTAGTTTTATTATGAAAAAAAGTCGTTTTATTTTTTGTTCTAGATAAAAGACTGCACGTCGATCAATATTATCGACTGAGAGGTTCACGGAGAACAAGATTTACAGTGGCGATTTTTGCAATCTTTAATTTGTTACTACTAACAAATTAATAACAATGTTAATCGATTTCGATAAAATGTTCAGCATATGCATATAAATTACCGAGATCTACGAGAGGCATTTTTTAAATTTTCGTTATAGGCTGAAATAAAACAGTCAAAAAACGAGAGATTTTATCTTGTTTTTGTCATTTCAAGTAATAGCAAAATTTAAAAAAAAAAGCATTTTAATCATCGTCTAGTAGACTAGTGCCTCTATCATCTAAAAAAATTCAAGTCACTTAGTTCATTTTTAGAAAAGTTATTGCGTCTTGAACGATGTACGACCACTTTTGTGGGCTACTGTACTGCTTCACTAAATGTCGATAGAATGTAACGGAAAAAAAATTTATGCATCTTGAAATGTGAAAGAATATGCATGGAAAGTGCTGAAAAGTTTCATCAACGTTTTATGTTACAAAAAGATTGTCGAAAATCATCTTTATTTTAACTGTTCACTTGAGGCTCTCCACTCAATAATGAAAGAAATTTATAAATTATCTATATTTATATGTTGTAAGTTGGCCAGGTTTTCGTATAAAAAAAATTTGTAATAAGAATTTGCGTGCTTATTAGTCACTTGTTTATTTATCTTTTCAGTTTTGCTTGTTTTCTCGTCGATGACAGAACATTATTGTACATCATGATTATTGCAGAAGTTTATTGTTTGGTTTTCTTCAGTGGGTTCTGAAGTATTGTATGAAGCATTAAATTAAGGTTGTCGTGAAAATGCCGAATACTTTAATATCTTTTTTGCTCACTATACAAATATATAAAATTTATGTATATGTAATACAGATATACATATAAAGTTTATGTGTACCTATAATACAGATATGTAAAGTTTATATGTCTATAATACAGATATACATATAAATTTTATATATCTTAAATATAAAGTAACACTTTTACTTGTTTAGCAACATTGCAAAGTGCTAGGAGTTAGTTAAATGATTGTTTTCTTGTTAATATTGTTCGCTAATTTAACGCTCATCGAATATCCGGACATTATGATCAGATTGCTTGGT